AGCCAGGTTGGTTCATACTGAGAAGCTCTCTGCTCTGGGTCTGTGCAGCTTCTGGAGCTCTGAAGTGCAGGATCTTCTGTTCGCTGCTGTTTGAGGTGATGGATGGAGCTCCTCAGTGTTCAGGGTCTCCAGTGTGGGCACTTTGTTACTGAGCAAAAGAGTCAAGTAGTGGACAATGCGAGTGAATGAGCCATGGTCTCCCTCCCTGTCTCTCCTGTGCCATTAGTCTGCCTAACATGTCAGAGGTAATTAATTGTGCTTGATAGTGCCAAGGCTGTGTTACTTCAGAGATTTTTCTCTTTTGAGACTTTTACTGCTGACAGATTCAGTTTATTCACCTCGAATGATAAAACTGACTGTGAAGGGATGGATGGGCTGCAGGAGAGCGCTTTGCCTCTTTTATCCCCTCAATATTGTCCAAACGATTAAACACATTTGATGGGAGGTACATTTGATATTTCATTGCACTGAAAAGTCATATCCTATCATTCAGAAGTCACAGCGATGGTTCTGTGTTTTAATGGGACTTATCTTGTATCACCTGGAATAGAAATGGCAGCAGTGTTTGGACCAGTATTAGGTCAGTTATTTTTTTATCCCACAGTAGATTAAAGACAAATCGCCTTGTCCTGAATCACATGCTCTTATCCCTGCCTTTGTTCTTCATAGCAGGCTGTTTAATGTCAGGGAAATGATTTGTCTTATCTGCTTTGTGTTATTTGTCCCAGATACTTTTGTTACAGGAAATGCTACTGATTCAAAAATGTCAACTTTATTTGTTGACCTGGACACTTCGAATGTAAATGTCATGAGAAAACTCTGAGAAAAGTTTACCTTCTATTAGATATGGGGGCTGACAAAAAGAGAAGGAAGGTGCTGTTTGTGTCAAGGAGGAAGGTGCAGTAGTTCAGTATCCAGGAATGTCTCTGTCCTACACCGCCAGGGTCAGAGTCAGGGTTCAGTGGCTGCAGAGTCCAGCAGGTATTCAACATTTAGCTCCGTTGTCCTCTGAGCTGTCTTTGTGCTCCACTGATCTTAAAGCTGTGCTGAGGAAAAGCAGCCTGGTGTTTTTGAACTCCTCTGTGGAGTGTTGCCTCAGCGAGGCTGTGCCGTCACCACACATTATCTCCTCAGGGATTACAGCGCTCAGCATTGGAGAGCCGTCCCTCTCATTTCACCTCTTCATACTACTGTAATTCACCTGGTTCTCACACTGAGGGCTCTCTCAGCAGCCACAGCGTCTGTCAGGCCAAGGCCTATCGGGATGAAGATGATCCGGGGGGGGGGG